TTTTTTTTTTTTTTTTTGGGTCCGGACATTTTTGCACCCTGGGGACTGGTCCGGACTGTCTTTAGGGGGAGAGCAAAGTTCCCGGCATCTCCTCCCAGGCATGAGTTTGCCATCAAGACATGGTCCCAGTATGGTATCAACTGTCCACATAGGTAGGTGCCCATGTGTGCCTCCCATTGGTAGAAGCTTTCTTCCCGTTTTTCCGTTATAAGTCCAGGGGATTTTCACCTTCATCTTCTCTCCTTTCTCCCCCTCCGGATGGTCTTTCTTCCCCTTTCGGATCTCCTTCCTTTTTCGGGTCTTTACCTCCCTTCCCATCATCACCACCATCATCTCCACCTCCACCACCACTTCCTGTTGTTACTGTGGCGACGACTTCCACTAACTTTTTGGTGAAGACATGTTCTAATTGTCAAGTGTAATCCTCGGGTTGTTCATCTATCCACTGGGCGGAGGCATACAACAAGTTATTCCATGTGCCTTTGAATTCGGTCTGGTGTTGGTCGAGCCGAGCAACTGTTTTATTTATGGCAACGAGCTCCTGTCCTTCGGCCTTCAACCTCCTTCTCTCCTCTCTCTCTTCCCTTTTCTTTGTTAGCAACCGCTGGTGCAATATATTCTCCCTCTCCTCCACCAGCAATGCACACTCATCATCAATATTCATCATCCTCTTCAGCTTCCACCTTCACTGCAAATTCCTCTCTTTCCACCTCCGATTCGTCTGCCCATTTATCCTTATGAATCCAAACTTCTCCATCCAAGACTGTGTGTCAACCGCGTAGAAACGCAGTTGGCTCGTTTCTCCTCGTTCGGTTGGCCCTCGTTCTCCACCCTTGTCTCTGGGATCAATCAACCTCTCCTCCTCTTCTTCTTCTTCTTTTTCTTCCTCTTCTACGACTTCAACCTACTGTTTCTGTTTTTCTAGTATTTTTCACTTATCCTCCAATTCCCTTCTCTCCTTCTCCAATCTCTCTTTCTCCTCCTCTTTCTTCTTCTTTTTGTCCTCCTTTTTTCTCCTCCTTTTTTCTCCTCCTTTTTCTCCTCCTCCTTCTCCTTCTTCTTCTCCGCCAGCCTCCTATCGATTTCGGTCTGCTATTCGACGATATACGGCTGGGTGGACGCTTCGAACCGACTCACAACATGCATGCCAAACGTCCGAGTGAATCCCAGTGGAAAGAGGAAGCGAAGGGGAGGGTCCAATATAGCGGACAGGACCAAGAATCCAAACATTGGGTAGTCATCCATGGCGAGGGTCAGCACAGGTAAGTTGACTCTGCCTCCTCACC